GGGCTTTGCGCTATCTGGAGGATGAACAGGGCCAACGATTCCGGGTCCAAATCAACCGGGACGTCTTCATCTTTCTGCAACCCATCAGAAAGTAAGGAGGGAGTGTGACGAAGTCACAAACTGTAGTTAGCATAAGATTTAGTTTAAGAGGGCACGAAGCCACACGATATTTAGTTTAAGAGGACAGGAAGCCACACGATATTTAGTTTAAGAGGACACTAAGAAGAGACGAAGCACCGATCAAAGACAGCAGCCGCGTCGCACACACAAACCAAGGCGCCGACTCCTGTACGCACCGCTGGATTATTCCGGGCACGGACGGGAGGACGGGCCGCTGGATAGTTCCGCGCCGGACAGAGGCATTGGCCGCTGGAGCATTCCGGGCCACAGCAGTAGTCGCCGATATCCCCGTCCGGCTCCGGATAGTTCCTAAAAACCCCACCGTGTTTGTTCCCCCCCAATAAAACCCCAGACAAATCATTGGCGTCTTATGTCTTGGCCGTCTCAGAACATTATAAATTTTGTGGGGAACTCTGGGCCGCTGAGGATCACCCCGGCCGTAGTAGCTTCTTTACAGGGTATAAGTTTAAATTATATTTGGTATTCGTATTAAATGATAAATGTAATTGATGAACTGAATTGAATACACTAGTTTACAAAATAATATTCTTGGAGAGCTCCAAAGCAATTGATGCCAAATTCTGTTAGTGTTCGACCCCCAAGTCACGAAAATACCACTAATTTTTTTTTCGATGGCACAGTTTTTTTTTAAGATTTTTTAAAGTTTAAAATGTTAAATATCGGACTTTTTTCGAATTTCTTCCTATATCTCGGGAAATATCCACCCAATTGGGCGAGTTTTTATTTCATTATAAAGTCAATAGATCAGAGCTTAACTTTGCCATACAGATTAATATGATTGGATAAGTAATGGCAGCGCAGCACCTCGACAAAGATGAAAAATGTGTTTTTTGGTCCTCTGTAAGTCGGCTGAATGTATCGTAAAAACTCGAAATAAATCCGTTGAAAAATTAAAATGGGTACAAACTTAAAGTTTACATCCCTCCGGACAAAACAAGCCGAGTGTGGCCCAAATTCATAAAAAATTGGATTTATGGTGGATTTTTAAAGTTCGGATTTTTCAACTTTTTTCGGTTGACAAAGTTCAAATTTTAGTTTTATCTTAGGCGGCGACATGTAAACAAAAATGAGTGGTGATGGCAGCCGGGTCAAAAAATAGCTAAATCAGATATTTAAAAGCTAGAAAATTATAAAAATGAATATAATTTTTAAAAATTCCTTAAAAAATATAAAATTGCTTGCGTTATGACTCTGAGTATTTTTAATAAGTAATATCCATTTGAATAAATTAAAAATTAAATTCATTTTTATAATTTTATAATCCACCCAATTGGGTGGATATTTGCCGAGATATAGGAAGAAATTCGAAAAAAGTCCGATATTTAACATTTTAAACTTTAAAAAATCTTTAAAAAAAACTGTGCTATCGAAAAAAAAATTAGTGGTATTTTCGTAATTTGGGGGTCGAACACTAACAGAATTTGCCATCAATTGCCTTGGAGCAGTTTGGCTGTAAACTAGTGATATTAATGAGAGATCTCTTTTTGGTGGGCTTTCGTAGCGTGGGTTTCTGAGAGAGTGTGACCAGAGTATCTTGAATTTTCATTAAGCCCGCCTTTGCTTCTTTTTCAAAGCAGCAGCAACCCAGCGGGAACATTCCTCTGGAAAAAATGATATTTTCATGAGGTTTCGCCATACAAGCGCAAGGGGCAACACCTCATTTACCCCTTAAATTTCTTCTGTCTCTGGTTTCAAAATACACGGGTGTGACACAAAAAGTGAGGGGTAAATGAGGTTTCTGTGGTTTTCCAATGGAATTTACATTTTTTACAAAAGTATGTAACAGCTAGAAGGAAGCGTTTCCGACCCCATAAAGTATATATATTCTTGATCAGGGTCACTAGCCGAGTCGATCTAGCCATGTCAGTCTGTTCGTCCGTCTGTCCGTCCGTCTGTCCGTCCGTCTGTTCGTCCGTCCGTCCGTTTGTCCGTCCTTATGAACGCTGAGATCTCGGGAATTACAAAAGCTAGAAGGTTGAGATTTCCCACACATATTCTTGGGCTTCCTACGCAGCGCAAGTTTATTTCTCCTCTAACGCCCACAATCGCCCACTAACGATTTTAAAGTATGTCTGGCGCCTACACCTTTAAGGATTTCCGAGAAGTATAAATGCAATTTTGTTGTGTATACTTATACCTATCGAAATGTAGAAGACATTTTTCAAATCGGACCACAAACCCGACTATAACGTTCTTTCTGGTTAAGAAATATAATAAGACTTAGAGCATAAAAATAAAATAAAATAAATCAAAAATAATGATTACACTATGCAACATGCTATATTGTTGAAATGGTTACAAATTCCAAAGTAAAACTGTGATTTCCAAAAAGTTCCCCCACGCAAGGATTCTTAGCACAAGGACCTCAAATTTTAAAAGAATTCTGTAATTGGCCAATTTCCGGAGGTATCACAGGCAAAAGGATTAATGTTTTTTTTTATGTTAAAGTTTTTTAAAAGATCTCTCTTTATCTTTCAAATCCCGTACTTAGAATAATTTTAAGATTTTTTTTAAAGAAGAGAAACTTTTTCAGAAAACATAGTCAAAAAACGGTCAAAATAGAAGTAGTGTGGCCGCCCTGTGTTTTAAAAAGTTTTTTTGTTGTAATTAATATTCTCCTGGTAATATTGTTTATTGATTATAATTGTACAATTAGATTAATTGGATCACTATGGACGGCAGTCCATGTAGTGACGAAGCGCACCAGGAGAGTGTGCGAAGGCGACTACTATTATATAGCCGCAAAATTGAAAATCGGCAGTGATAGTCCGATCGTAATGAGTAATACACCAATCGAAAGGTATTGCAAAAACTTAAAGGATTGCATACCAAGACTTTAAGAAAATCAATTGGCTTGGGAGAGAGAGCGTTGAAAGTGAAAAATTGAAAATTTCGAAATTTGGAGCTGTTGGGGCCGGTGGGGATAAATGCCCCCTCGCAATGTTTTAGTTGTATTCCTCTTGAAAATACCCGTCGAATGAGGGATCATTTGTCAAAATCCGACTCTCCGTTCAAAAGTTATAGCCAAAATAAGATTTTCTTCTTCTTCCCAAAATGAAAATTAATTTCTGTTTGTCCACTTGTCCACTTGTCCACTTGTCCAAAACATGTTTTTTAAGTTTTGAAAATTTTATATGACGTTCATCACATCGATATAAAAAACTTTTGTTCTACCACTTTTGGAAAAACTCGCTAGTTTAGCGGGAAAACAGCTATAAATAGCTAAAAATCGGAAAGCCGTAACTTCTATACTACTAAAGCTACAGACTTGTGCTGCATCTCGTTTGAAAGGTATTTTTAAATGCTATAAACGCCTTCTATATGCAATTTGTGTAAATGTAATAATTAAAAAAATATGAACAAAAGACAATTTTTTAAAACTTTTTTTTAGCTTTTTTTATTTTTCTCAAAAACGGCTCTAACGATTTTCTTTAAAACCTTAAACTGTATAGCCCTTGAGATTCCTTAAATTTTGGTATATAACACATTACTGTAAAAAGTCACGTTTAAAAGTTATTTTTATACGAAAATAGCCACTTTTGCCAGCTCGAACAATTAACGCTCCCTGAGTATTGAATTTTGTGGGAGGGTATCCGAACTGTATTTTAGGGTCATGGAATCAGTAAATTTGCACTTAAGAGTTCCATATAGGAATCTTTTGTTCTACGACTTTTGGAAAAAGCCGCTACTTTAGCGGGAAAATAGCTAAAAATGGCTAAATTTCGTTAGTTTTTAAGTTCTACACTACTAAAGGTACAGACATGTGCTATACCTCGTTTAAAAGGTATTTTGAAATACTTCAACGCCTTTTTAACTTAATTCGTTAAAATACAATAGTTTAAGAATTATGATTTATGACCAATTTAAATTTAAATGTTTATATTAGCACCTATGAGAGCAAAAGTAAACAAACAAAAACTTCTGATATCAAATAAAAACACCTCTTAACGAGGTAAAAAACTAGTGACGATCGCACCTTCAACGTACAAAAGTTCTGATATCAACTTTTGTGACGAAAAATAATTTTAGATGCGACTAAATAAGTACGCTACCTAAAATTTATTCATTCGGCACGCTAAAACAGAAAAACATTCGTGTAGATATTAAATATTTGCTAAAGCGGGCCGAACGAGTAAATTTTAGGTAGCGTACTTATTTAGTCGCATCTAAAATTATTTTTCGTCACAAAAGTTGATATCAGAACTTTTGTACGTTGAAGGTGCGATCGTCACTAGTTTTTTACCTCGTTAAGAGGTGTTTTTATTTGATAAGAAAAGTTAGAGCAATTGAAGAAACTATAAAAACTGAAATTTAGCCATTTTCAAAAATTGTTATTATAATAATATTTGCAGTTACTACACGACGACTCCTTAAAATGTTTCCTTGGTGCTGCTTTGAAGAAGAAGAAGCATATTGCTTCGACAGTCGGTAGCTCTCGTATTTTGCTTTTGCTTCGACTGCGACGGCCGACTTTTTCAGAAGCAGCAGCAGAAGAAAAAGTAACTTCCAGAAATTTTTGCTAGCTGCTGCTTCGACTGCACAGCACAGCAGCAACTAAAATCAGAAAGCAACGACTTGCTACTCCTGCGACAGTCGGCAGTTCTCAAATTTTGCTTTTGCTTCGACCGCGACTTTTTCAGAAGCAGCAGCAAAAGCAGGCTAAATGAAAATTCAGACAGTTTTTTAAACACTTATTTTATCAAGTTTCAATCTTTTTGGCTTGGTTGACATCCTCAGAGAATTGTCCATTTATAGTAATCGCCTTCGCACACTCTCCTGGTGCGCTTCGTCACTATGTGGACTGCCCTCCACAGTGATCTTTAATTAACCATATTAATATATTTACAAGATACATTAACTTATTTAAGACACATTGTTCAAAAAACAATTGAATCATTTATTTAATCATCGGCTAAGCTTAATACAACGTTAGGAATATTTTGTCGTAAGTTAGGGTTTCTAGTATTAAGCAACGAAATTCCTTTGCTGCGCACCTTACAGTGAATTAAGATTCCGTAAAAACTTTGGATTTTACTATTTCTCCCGTTTCTGTTTACTAAAAGTAAAAACAAATTTTATTAGTAGTTATGCTATTGTCGATATTATTAAACAACACGTTGCATCACAATTATTACTATTTTAACTGATTGTTAGATTAAAATATATTATTTTATATTACTTTCTAGCCATAGCAATGCCTAGTCCCAATATCCCGCCAAGTACTAGGGCTGCTCCTCCAGCGACTGCCATACCCTTTGCCACTTCCTTATCAATTTGTTTCTGTATGTATTCCTGAAATGTATGTCTTTTAATTATCTTTTTTATTTCAAAAATAATGTTCATATTGTTATTCACCTCAAGACAGCGTACTTGATCATTCGATTCGATGTCCAGAAAAGCTCTGCAGTACTTTAATCCAGAAGTATACTCCTTTATTCGAGCATTCCCAAATGCAAGGTAATATATATAATCACGCCTTCCATCTGGATGAGAACGGGCTAACTCTTCCAATATCATAATACCCTGTTATTAAAGTAATAATGAGTCAAAATCTCCCAAGTGGGCCACCCCTGATCCGAAGGTCCGATTTTCATCGAACTTGTTGACTTTTCCTGTTCACAGCGACTAAATAAGAACTTCATTTGAACGGTTTTGGCACTTTTTCGAAAACGGTGCAATCACTCTTTTTTGCATATTTTTGAAACGACGAAACATATCTTTATGATGTTTTCGCTTATCGGTCAAGAATTGTATTAGCTTTTCATAAAAAAATATTAATTTTTCTAAAAATAAAAAACTATTTTTTTCCTAGTGTTTTTTTTACAGTGTTCTTCGTCAGCTACAGAGTTTAAAACCATTTAATAATAAAATTTATTTTAAAATGAATAAGATCAAAAAAAAAAGTGGGGATCGGACAAGGTTTTTCGCAATTGAAATTTTTCGGTGGACACAGCGATTTTCCATACAAAACAGCATAAAGTCGCTAAGTAACCTACATGTTAATTTTCACGAGCAAGCCGTTTTTGTACGGGAAACCGCTGTCCGTCCACCACAAAATATAAATTTCGAAAAACCTTTAATATTTTTTTACGAAATGCTTATACAATTATCTTCTGTCGTTGTGAACAGGAAAAGTCAATAAGTTCGATGAAAATCGGACCTTCGGAACAGGGGTGGCTCACTTGGGAGACTTTGACTCAATATATTCACTTATCCAATGTGCATTGTACAATAGTGTTGGGTTGCTCATGAGTGAGTGAACAAAAAAGAGTTGCTCACTAAACTGAGTGAGTGAACATGTTCCTTCGAACTTGTTCTTTATTGTTCACTTGTTCATTTTTGCTCACTTGCTCTTTTTTGTTCACTTGTTCAGTTTGGCTCTCTTATTTGTTCTTTTTAGTTCACTTGCTCAGTTGCTCTCTTGCTGTTCTTGGCACAAAAAGTATTTTTTTTACTTTTAGGTTGCATTTTGCATACGGTTTTACAGATAACACTAGTTTACAAAATAATATTCTTGGTGTGCTTCCCAGCAATTGATGGCAAATTCTGTTAGTGCTGGACCCCTAGATCACAAAATAGCATTTTTTTTTTTGTTCGATGGCACAGTTTTTTTTAAAGATTTTTTAAAGTTCGAAATGTTAAATTTCGGACTTTTTTCGAATTTTTTCTTATATCTCGGCAGATATCCACTCGGTTGGGCCAGTTTTAGTTTTATTTTAAAGTCAATAGATCAGAGCTTAACTTTGCCATACAGATCAATACGATTGGATGAGTAATGGCAGCGCAGAAGCTCGACAAAGATGAAAAATGTGTTTTTTGGTCGTCTGTAAGTCGGCTGTATATATCGTAAAAACTCGAAATAAATCCGTTGAAAAACCATAATGGGTACAAACTTAAAGTTTACATCCTACCGAATAAAACAAGCCGGATAAGGCCCAAATCCATGAAAAACTGGATTTATGGTGGATTTTTAAAGTTCGGATTTTTCCACTTTTTTCGGTTGACAGTCCAAATTTAAGATTTATCATAGGCGGCGACATGTAAACAAAAATGAGTGGTGACGGCAGCCGGGTCAAAAAATAGCTAAATTTAAAAGCTAGAAAATTATAAAATAAATTTAATTTCTGAAAATTCCTTTAAAAATATAAAATAGCTTGCGTTATGACTGTGAGTATTTTTAATTAAGTACTATCCATTTGGATAGTTCATTCCTATGATAAATCTTAAATTTGGACTTAAGTCCACATTCACAGGCCCTTGAAGGAACACGCACAATTCGCGCCGGGTAGGGCAAGGACCGCGTGGTGTGGATTCACTTTTAGGTTAAGTGAATTTGAAACGTTTTCCTGGAACTCAGGGCGGCCAAATAACTCCGCATCACTTACGGGTGACGCGGTAACTTAAACCCCAAAAAAAAAAATAAATAAATAAATTTGGACTTTGTCAACCGAAAAAAGTGGAAAAATCCGAACTTTAAAAATCCACCATAAATCCAGTTTTTCATGGATTTGGGCCTTATCCGGCTTGTTTTATTCGGTAGGATGTAAACTTTAAGTTTGTACCCATTATGGTTTTTCAACGGATTTATTTCGAGTTTTTACGATATATACAGCCGACTTACAGACGACCAAAAAACACATTTTTCATCTTTGTCGAGCTTCTGCGCTGCCATTACTCATCCAATCGTATTGATCTGTATGGCAAAGTTAAGCTCTGATCTATTGACTTTAAAATAAAACTAAAACTGGCCCAACCGAGTGGATATCTGCCGAGATATAAGAAGAAATTCGAAAGAAGTCCGAAATTTAACATATTAAACTTTAAAAAAAACTGTGCCATCGAAAAAAAAAATTAGTGCTATTTTCGTGATCTAGGGGTCCAAATCTAACAGAATTTGCCATCAATTGCTGGGAAGCATTTCGGCTGTAAACTAGTGTAATGAGCTGTTTTCTCAGAGCCAGTGAAAAAGTTAAGGACAGAACATGTGAGCAAGTGAACAAGTGAGCAAGTGAACAAGAGAGCAAGTGAACAAGTGTGCAAGTGAACAAGTGAGCAAACTGAGTGAGTTGACTCATTGGGAAAAAAAGAACAAGTGAACATGTTCACCCAAATGAGCAGTTTTTACCCAACACTATTGTACAATGTACATACATAACTTAAAGTTACCTTTTTGATATCATTTGTGTACCGACTACGGACCAGACAGAATGCATACCTGTCGTAATAAAAAGATTAAAGTTGCTTATATCATATTTCAGTTTAAACTTGCGTACTCAAACTTTGTCTCTGTTGTAACTTCCCCATCCAACTCAAGTTCGTGATGATATTTCTTTTCAAACCTCTAAAAAAGACAACATATGTAACTTCGTAAAAGCAAAAATTAAAAATTATTGAATACCTCCAAATCTTCTTGAGGTACCACATCGTTTAAAAGTTCATCCATTTTTTGTCCACCTTTTTGGTTATCGTTCAAAACCAGTTTTATCTTTCACCAAATAAGTATTAATTAATATTAAATGCTCGTCAAAATAGCACCGGTGCCTTGAAAGAGTGAGAATGTTGAAAAAACAATTATTTCTTATACCCAATTTCCACACAGGGTAATAAGGTTTTAGCGGTTTCAAAAATTTCCGAGGTTTACCCACTAGAGCCCTGCACGAGTAGACATGTAAACAGTTTTGAGCTAGAGCTTGTTTGTTTGTGACTTTCGAGTCATAGCCAGGGATCGTAATTCTTCCAATTTATAAAATAAAAATTATAAAATAATAAGTATATTTTGATTTTAAAAAAAAATTGCAAAATAAGTCTTATATTGAATTTTTATAATAAAAATTGAAAATAAGCATTTTTATTTTAAAAATTGAAAATAAGTATTATTCTCCCATTTGTATACCCTTGCAGAGGGTATTATAATTTTAGTCAGATGTTTGCAACGCAGTGAAGGAGACGTTTCCGACCACATGATGTATATATATTCTTGATCAGGATCAATAGCCGAGTCCATCTAGCCATGTCCGTCTGTCCTTTTCTATATGAACTAGGCCCTCAGTTTTAAAGCTATCGCGATGAAACTTTCCCAAAAGTCTTCTTTCTATTGCAAGTAGTACATATGTCGGAACGAGCCGGATTGGACCACTATATCTTATGGCTTCGAAATAATCAAAAAAACAAGAAAGGAAGCTACCTTCGGCCAGCCGAAGCTTATATACCCTTGTAGATAAAGTAATGCTTACTCGGTGCAGTTCCAGGGATTCCAGATTCAGATTTATATTTTAATTTTGTTTATACATAAGTAGTCAAGAATCAAAACGCCTACTTCTTACAAAGTTACAATGAATTTTCTTATATTTGTTTGAATATTCCTATGGAAGCCTTAAGATATAGTGGTCCGATCCGGCTCGCTCCGACATATGTACTACCTGCAATAGAAAGAAGACTTTCGGGAAAGTTTCATCGCGATAGCTTTAAAACTGAGAGACTAGTTCGCATAGAAACGGACAGACGGACATGTCTAGATAGACTCGGCTATTGGTGGTGATCAAGAATATATATACTTCATTTGGTCGGAAACGTCTCCTTCAAGGCGTTGCAAACATCTGACTGTAATTATAATACCCTCTGCAAGGGTATAATGAAAGCCGCAAATTTGCCAATTATATATAAGTATATATTTAGTTAGGTTAAGTTATGTATGATCCACAAAAACATATTCTCTTGTTCTTAAGAATTCGCGGTTTTTGACAAATCGATGTATAATATAACTTTAGGCTTCTTTGGTTATGTTATGTATGTTCCACACAACTATATTCTCTTATTCCTAAGAAATCGCGTTTTTTGAAGAACCGATAATTGTTGAGCCAAGTATATGCAATAGTGCCTTAGCTAAGAAGAGAACAGTCCAACCAAGCTAAAGATCCTCCTGTTCTCAAGAATGCGCGGTTTTTGTGAATAATCGATTAATATAGAGACCTCATTTAGATTATATATTGATATTTCCAATCTGCGCATTCTATTTTACATACTTGGCATATTAATATTGGCTAGACAAAGGCGTAGTAAGAGCGCAGTGTGGGGTACGGGAGGTTAGGGTCTCCCCCATGCATACTCGTTATAGGATATGTTATAAAAGCTCAGATATGTTTTAAACTTGAAATCCGCCTTCGTTAATGTTGAGTTGAGCAACTGCTCTTCAGTCAGCTATTATTGGACGGTGTATGGTGGATGGAGCTCTATGGGAACACCAGTTTCACATTTGCCAAAAATCCCAACTGTTTCACACAGATGGACTCTATGGGAAGAGGCTATAACTGTGATAAATTGTTTTTAAGTTCAAACAAAAGTGCTATTAATCAAGAATACATTTTTAAGTAAGTAATTTTGAAGGGTATTAAAACTTTGTCTTGTCTAAATTATTATAGCTTCTCATTTTTAGAATTTGTATGTTTTATTTTAAATATTTTTAGGTCAAGCTGATGGTAAAAGGTGCATAAACAATATAATTTCAGATGAGATCATTTTGTCCTACAACCCAGAAGGATGTTATTGTTGCACTAAGTCTTTATCATTCTTGTCTGATATTCTAATATTATATGATATTATAAAAATATAATCCTCCGGAGAGGATGCGGAGATTCGTGAAAAATCTCCAGGCGCGAAAAGGCAGCTTACCAAGACTTCGGAAGCTAGGAACGTACCGAAGACCCCTACAAGTCACCTTATAGCCTCTTCCCATAGAGTCCATCCGTGAAACTCGTGACTGAAGAGCAGGTGCTCAGCTCAACATTAACGAAGGGGGATTTCAACTCGGGAAAACGTTCGTAAAATTGCGTTCTCCTAATTTTATTGTAGATTAATACAATAAATAGACTAAGAAAATAGTTTAAAAACATATCGGAACGTTTATAACATATCCTAAAACGAGTATGCATACATATTGCTGACTGGGGGGGAGCCTAACCTCCCGTACCCCACACTCCGCTCTTAAAAATTTGTAAACAAAAACAAGTTTGTGCTATTTTTAGTATTTTATAGCAACCTTGGAACTTTATAGTAATACAAAGTACACTTTTAATTATTATTAGTTATATTCAGGGACTGCAAATAAGTGCTATGAGTTTAAAAAAATTGATAGTCAAAATAGCGTCCAAAAAATAAGCGAAAAAAACCACTTACATATACTTATAAAGTGCAGAACATATTTTGACTCTTTGCTGCAAACATTGATGTTTTCGTACGCACAATAGTTTAAATTTTGCGAACGCTTTTCCGCTCATAACAAACTACAAATAATTTAAAAAAAATCCAAAAAACAATAAGCTGAAGCATTATTTAATTTTTCCCGCCATCGATTTGATTTGTTCTCGCAGTCATCGTTCCAATTTTCACAGTCAAGAGGAAGAATTCAGAGTTGCACCGAGAAAACATCGCCTAACTATCGCATAAACCGAATCATTTCTAGTTTTCCATAATATTTGGATGCTCCTGAGTAAAAGTCCCATACAAACTTAATTCCCATCACCTACAGGTTCCGCGGTAAAGCTAAGAATACAAATAAACGGATGTTTGCCTACATTTTAAAGTTGAAAATCCCCAATTTTTCAAGTTTTCTCTGAAGAAAAAAGAAATCTGAAAATTAAATCTTAAATGAAACTAATTTTAACTATTCCTTGAATCTATGGTTTATTGTATGCTTTAATTTCGGTTTATAGCGTTTTCATGAAGATGTGGCGATTAAGTTTTGCCATCTGGCATCGCTGGGAAACTTCCCTAACTGAAAATTAAAGATTAATCCAATAACAGACTGTGGCCTCACTATCTTAAAAAGGACGCTACAAAAAAGCCCACTAAAAAAGGAGATCTCAATTCAGCTCATGAACACTAATTCAAAAATACAAAATACAGTTTAAACTTAAAAGCTTTGTGTTTTCTTAAAGTGCTACTTATTAATTTGTTTGTTAGGCAACCATAACTGGTGACCCCGACAATTCGAACAGCAAAAAAACCGAACAAAGTCCAAATTAACCAGAACCTCAACATAACCTAACACAATGACAGACATTGAAGAATTCGTCGATGCGCAGGAACCATTGCAAATTCCTGATACGAGTGCTGTTAACTCGGTATTTGCCAAAATGCCCTTTCCTCAACTACATTCCATAACCAACATCGAAATGTTTTTCACCAAACTGGAGAGCTGGTTTTTGCTGCAAGGCCTCGGTGCACGCAAAGAGCAAGAGAAGTACGCAGCAGTAATTGCATACGCTGACCCCAAATACCTCGATCAAGTGCACGATCTTGTCAATAACCCACCGAAAACAAATCCGTACTCCACACTCAAACAAGCAATTTTGTCTAAATTTGCCGAATCAGAGATGGTGCGCCTCGACAGACTTGCGACAGGAATCCAACTCGGCGACGGTCGTCCAAGTCATCTACTCAGCCAACTGCAGCAAACTAACGCCACCAATGACGAATCGGTTGTGCGTCGCTACTGAATCAAGCGCCTACCACCTCTCCCTACCAGCTCTCCCAAAACTACCCTTGCACAGCTCGCAACTGCTGCCGATGCCGTGATGGATTCTCTTAACTACGACACTTCTGACCACATGTGTGCGGTATCACAGCAAAACACCCACCATGCTTCACAGGAAGATCGCATCACACAACTAGGAAAACGCCTGGATGAGAATGACAAGATTTTACAGCAGATCAACAACAAGCTAAGTCAACTCCTTAGCACCAAAAATCAGCAACGGGGTCGGACCTATAATCGATCGCCCAGCAACAGCAACTACCGGAGCAACACACCATCCAGAGACAATGATAACCCTCAATTTTGCTGGTACCATAATAAGTACGCGGACAGTGCCCAACGTTGCATCCAACCGTGTTCTTTCCATGTCAACAACATGTCAAAAAACTATGCACCACCGTTGGAAATCAACAGGGCAGCTCCGACGGTTGTATTGCAAATGCCTCACTACCGTACCCCGTTCTCAAAGTAAACATCTGTAGAATTTCATCTTCCAATCGTCTCTTCGTTCCAGACTCCAAATCTGGTAAATGTTTTCTCATCGACACTGGAGCTGACGTATCTGTTTTACCACCAAACACATTTAATCGACACATTCCAGCTAATAATAACCATTCACTATTCGCAGCCAATGGAACAGCTATACAAACGTATGGGACCACTCGCCTTACGCTAGATCTCGGTTTACGTCGCCCTTTCACATGGATTTTTACCATAGCCGACACGAAAATTCCAATCATTGGATCAGACTTCTTGCAGCACTTTAATCTACTGGTTGACCTTAAAAACTCAAAGTTAGTCGATGCCGAAACTATGCTATCATGGTGCGGTATATTCAGCCAAAAATCAACTTCGGAGATCAGGACATATAACATTCACTGCGAATTCTCCAAATTACTGGAAGAATTTAAGGACATTACACAGCTTCACTCATGTCCTCCTCAAGCAACAACAAAAAACGTAACACATTGCATCGAAACCAAAGGATCTCCACCATTCGCTAGGCCCAG